CTGTCATGTGACGCTTCGGTTGATCCTAACCGAAGAAGAATAACTTGTACATTCTGGTATACTCAGACGACGGCAGAGAAGCAAGAATCAGATGTCCTCTTCGGATCACATCGACTTCCGATTCTCATCATTACACACTTTTCCAGAATAAGCCCATTTTAACTTTCACACACAGCATGTATGCCCATCTATGACTCTCTATTTCTTTCATAGGCACCCGTTTCCACGTGACGTACGTCTACATGAAGTTTAAGTCTCCTCGGCCTCACGCTATGGTGATCTACAAACGTAATCCAGACACAGATTGGCAGGCCTGGGCATATTTCTCCAGCAATTGCTACACCTATTTTGGCATGCCTTACTCTCGATTACACAGATTCACTCGACCTGATGAGGTTGTTTGTCGCGAAGAGTATTCGACTTTGGAGCCATTATATGATGGTGAAGTGATCTTCTCTGTGATCAAGGGCCGACCTGGATATGACCAATTCTTCGCAAATGAAGCTCTTCAGGTATGATAGTTTGTAAACCTCTCATTTGGTTCGTTATTATCGTCTCATTCTTTAGGCTTTTGATTTACACATTTGTGCTCTTCCGGTTCATCAGTTAGCAATGCGAATGGTATTGAGATTTTTTCCAAGTCTACGTTACACATAATTCAACTAATTGCAGAATTGACAAGCCCCTACATCTCATAAGCTCTAAAATGATAGACTTGGCTACACATTTTATCACAAGAATAATATTTTTAAAAACGATGTTACTTTGCACAAAGTGTCAATTGAGTTATTATGTTTTGCTGTAAGCTCTTTGCACAGTGGGTATAACTTTAATATCTATCGACAGGATTTGGTACTAAAGATTATCTGACATTCATCGCTTTAAACGAAATAGGATGAATACTGTTCTTATATCAGATCTGATAGTAGTCTCAAAAATCTACCTTTAAATTGAAACTAAGTTAACATAAAGTGTCTTTATGGGGTAAAGTAATACACATTAATGATCTGATGCCGACAAGCGAAATTGCTTTCGATCGCCAATCCGTTCAATTAGGAGTAGAAAGCAGGACATATGTTTGATTAAGGTAGGGTTTCGAGACTATTAGTAAATTGGTTACAAGAAATGTATTCTCCCAATTTCGTTTAGGGTGATGAAGGACTGGTTGTTGAATTTCCCCACAATGGTATGTGTAGAGCTGACATTTCCCTTGAATTTCACATATCCTTGCTTTCCCAAAAGGTGTTCCCCTCCAATACGAGGGGATTGACGTTTGCACCTTGTCTAGGTCTTATCAACACCCCCAGCGGGAGTCGAACCGTGACAGTGCAGAATGGGAGCTTGATACGTCAACCACGAGTGCGTTTTGGATCACAGGGCAAATGTGAATTTCAAGGAATTTTCCCATATCTCATTCTTTGGTTGGAGTGTCGATGAAGTGTCGACTATATTACATATTTTTCGTTCATAATTCGGGTTTCGAGACTACCCGTAAATCAGTCATAAGGCATGCATTCACCCCATTTCGTTTAAGGTGATGTACGAAAACGTCAGCTTTACTCATCTGACTGTGGGAAAATCCAATCACCAGTCCTTCATCAGCTTAAACGAAATAGAGTGAATCCATCTCTTAGAACTGATTTACTGGTAGTCCCAAAACCCTACTTATGAACGAAAAATATGTAATATTGTCGATTTTTATAGAAAATATTAGTTTGCTTCATCGACACTCCAGCCGAAGAATGAGATATGGAAAAATGCCCAACTCACCTTGAAATTAATATGTCATGGTTCGACCACCGCTGGAAAGAGTTGAGGTCCAAGCTACAATCTACTCCTATTTGATGAGAATAGCTTTTGGGAAAGCAAGAATATGTGAAATTCAAGAGAGATTTCAGCTCTACTCATACCATTGTGGTAAAATTCAACAACAAGTCCTTCATCACCGTAAACGAAATTGGGTGAATACATTTATTGTAACCGATTTACTAATAGTATCGAAACCCTACCTTAACCAAGCATATGTCCTGCTTTCTACTCATAATTGAACGGATTGGTGATCTCTATAGTGCCCAGTGGGAGGCAATCATTTGCTCATATCTATCCTGAATGAGAATGACTATAAAAATTACTGTTTTTTTGTAGACATGTATACACTACTCCTGATGAGATGGAAAAAAGTTTACTTAGATGCATCCCAAACGAATGTTTAATTGCAGTGCAGGCAGTACTTTCAAGACGTTTTGATATTTTGTCGGGAAATTCTACCTTTAACCAGTCAGCGACTTATGGGATATAATGCTCTTATTTAAAAGCTACTGACAGTATTGAAACCCATTCATTATTGATACAATTAATTATAATTTTCGTCATTTGTGACATCATTTGTAATTGTTTGTTCATCCGATTTTCCTAAGAAATGGAGCACAGCCAGCCAAATCAAGATTGCGCTGCGCAAGGCCCACACATTCGGAGACGAGAGAAACGCGGAGAAAGATACCTTATTAACATACTACTTTGCAGTCTCCAAATTAGCAGTTGGAGGCAGGTGGGTTGGCAACAGTTTAGGCCTTCATTCTGTCATTCATAATGCTTCACCAGATATTTTAGCATGCTTTACTTGGATCTTTTGAATATTCTATGATCACAACTTTTCTGTTATATTTTGTCAGTACTTTAGTCAATGTTTGTAGCTCAATAAAGTCTTTTATTTGGCCATTTATGAATTGCTGCTTTATTTGTGTAATAGCTCAAAATATATGCTAAAATAGAGCCATTCTAACACGGACATTTTAGAGGATAACCTACATATGCAATGTGCTTCTGTGTGAATGTGAAGACTTTGTAAATATCTTTGATAACTTTTATGGTGAATTTAATCCATGATTTGGCTTTACATCATTAGTTTAACGTCCAAAAGTATCTCCAGAAGTATCACTAGGTACAACCTTTCCATCATTTAAAGGTAATCTTTAGAATCAGCTTTATCGGTAAAAAAAAGTCAAAATTATCTTATTATTTTATATTGAGGGGATTTCCTCTATGTTAGTACGCAAACTCTCGGAAACGCAAACGTTTTGAAAAAATCTTTGATCAAAATGCATAAGTCATAAAAGGAATAATTTGAGCAACAGTTATATTTAACTGCCTTTTCTCAATTATAATCTGATTTTATTATATTAAATCTCGAAACCTTAGTCATTCTATTCGGTTACACTATCAACGACTTCGTGTTTTTCATGATCTCCATGACATTTATTCTCTAATACACTCATGCCTTTATTTATACTTTTGATCTTAAGATGTCTTTGTCACGGACACGGAAACCGTTGCGTTAGAAGTGAAGGTCCTGGTTTCCAGGGCTCTATGGTGTGCATGTGCCATCCCAGTCACCACACAGAGGGTGACAATTGTGAAATTTGTGCACCCGGCTACATGGACAAACCGTGGGCCCCCGCAACGCCATACAATGCCAACCATTGTCGAGGTAAGTTTGTTGATTCTATAAATGCATTTTACGCACTAATATCCCAGAGCTAGACACTTTTTGCTGTATAGTTACCATTTTCAATCACTGAACTGTATTGAGATTTGCTTTTTCATTATATGAAGTCTTCATCCCTAAGCCTAAAGTGTATTTTCGGCTAAAACGTAGTTTTCGAGATTACTTGTAGATGATATATTTGGGAACTATTCACCCTATTTGGTTCAAGATGAAGAAGCACTGGCAGCTTAACTTTCCCATACCTCAAACTAATTTGGATGAAGACATCCCGCATATATTATATATTGATAGTCTGGAAAACCTATTTCTAAACTAAAATAGATAATGAGATCGATTGCTATAGTAAATAGAACTTTGCTCCATTGAAAATTCCATCATAGAACGTGATATAGGAAAGACCTGGCGCCGTCGCCCAAGGGAATTTATGGCTGTCAAGCATAATGAATAAT